CTAGAAATCACACATTTTCAGCACCTCTGCATGTGACTTAGATGCCTGGCACAATACAGAGGGGATGTCAGTCGGCAACAAAATAAAATGGTACTACGCTGGAGGTGCGGATTTTTCGCGTCGTCCGAAGCTTGTCACAATAAAATCACAACGGGGAATTTTTTTTTCAAATAGTGGGCACCGGGAAAAGTGAGGTAAGTGCTTTTCAGAAAGGGGATGTCCTCTGGACGGCACCGTATTTGGTTAGCTAAGAGATCCCATGTGAAGAAATTTATTTAATTTAAAGGAGTACTTTGAATGGGCTCAAGCTCAGTTTGTACCCTACAAACCTGGTGCACCACAATGCTGCTTTCCCCCTCCGAAAGCTTATAAATATCCAAAAAGGAGTACTTCCGGTGCCCATCGCCTATTTTGCAACATAACACGCGGATTAGCTTGCCCCAGTGCAACAGTGTAAAGGCGTTTCGAACGCTCGAGCTCAGTCTCTCCGCAGCTATTTAGAATACAGGTCAACATCCGGGGAAATTTTCCCAACGCGGCAAATCTCCCTTGAAGGCGCGTACGACCCCTCCCTCTCCCAACGGCCGAAAACGACCTTAGCGGAAAAGTACGACCCCCTCTATGTTTCACAGTTTCACACAACGATGCTGTACCCTCTTTGCACGGTAGAGTGCCACTGGTCAAGCTCATTAGTAAGCCAGTTTCAGTATAGCAGTGTCAAAATGGGTTGAAGTCTAACCTGTCAGGTTTGTCTTTGTAACAAATGTAAGAAAAGCTCAGGGACAGCTTTTCATGACTACATCTACAACAGGATTTTTCGAGAGGTCGTTCACCCTACAGGTTTTGAATTAATGATTAAAGAACCCACTCAGCCTTTCCATCGATCCAAGCACCTCATACCTTCCAAATATTTGGTTTGAAGAATGTCGCCAACACTTGCTAATCCCGCCACGTCGAATCACGCAGATGCTAACAGCTGCGCTCCAGTGCTGATCGCTGGACCGGTGCCACTACTAACTCTTCAATCACGTCCGTTAGGCAGCGTTCAGACTTCGCGACGGCAGCGCTTCGGTCGCGCGTTCGACGCGATCGATGCAGTCGAAAGGATGCTCATCGATCGCGTTGAACGAGTGACAAAGCGCTGCAGTCGCGAAGTATGAACGCTACCTCAAAAAGTAGAGCACGGTCCCTTGCGATCGTGCTTCTCAAATCGTGTGATGCCCAAACCGCGCCACTGATGTGCTAGAGTCGCAAAAATGCGTGGGTGTATTTTCTCATGAGCTCTTAGTCCTTCTAAATAGAACGAAACAACCGCAACACCGGTGATAGAAAAATATTATTTTGGCATACTTCTTCAATAACAGCACTCATAAGACACTGGCTGCAGGAAACAGCATCCAGTTACAATCAAAAATAGTAAAGAAAAAAAAGAAGGGAAAAGAGCTTCCACATTCCAAATATAGAACAAATGAAATATACAAGAATGAAATAATACAAGAAAAAACCACAGCAAATAAAAAAGGATGTGTTAGAAAAAATCCTCAGTGTTAAGGTGTGAAACGGACGGATGTTACAAAAACATGTACAGAATGAAAAATTAAAACTTCTACAACTTCATCGATTGAGAGCAAAACATTTGAAAACATCGCAAACATTTCAAAGTCTGATGATTGGAAAGAATTTGGAAATGAATAAGAAACCTACCAAAATCAAAACTATAAGTAATCACAAAGTAAATTTTTGGAAAAAATTATTGGGATCTTATCCTACTAGAGTTTCGTAATAATCTAAAACATGGAAAACGCAGGGCCCAAATTTTCAACACATCAAAGACGTAATGAATGACTTCGAAAAAAAAATCAATAAAAAAATTTTATAAGGACTTCACCGAACACCGAGAACAGCGGAATTAGAGGTTCAAATTCACGCGCAGACACACCTCCTTCGAATCACACTCACGCCCTCTAATCCGCAATTTCACTACACAAATGGAAGGGAAAACACTATCACATACATTTGGACGCATCATGGAGCAGGAACGTTACTGCCAACCATACTGCGTGAGCAACGCAGGATTATGAACCAACGGACGGCACCATCTGAAAATGGCTTCATAGAAAAAATTCACCAATTTACGATATTTTAGTGAGGCAAGACTCAGAAACAACAACCCACATTTTTAGTTTCATTACCACCCCCATTGTAAGTACGCTTAGCTGCCCATGTCATGCTACTTCTCTCCGCGCCGGTCCGAGGTCGCGTTCATACTTTGCATCAGCGTACGTCAACTTACGGGAGTGTTTTGAGCGTTTTGAATGTACGCCACCGCTAGCAACTGGGGAAGTACAAGTATCGATCCAGCGTGAGCCAGCGTACGGCAGCGGAGTGACTGGGAAACATAGGTATCGAACTAGCGAATGCCAACGTCCACCAGGAGTGGAGAGTATGGGGAAATAGGGTAACAAACTGCTGAATTAGACGTCGTGAAATACATAATTCTGTGCTTTAGCAGTTGTACGTGCGGTTGCACACGCCGCAATTTCACGACGCCTAATCCAGCAGTCTGCTACCCTCCTGCTTCCCCATACTCTCTATTCCTGGCGGACGCTGGCATTCGCTAGATCGATACCTATACTATCCAGGTCGCCGGCGCCGGCAACCGAAACGTTCCAAACGCTGCCGTACGCTGAAGCGAAGCATGAACGCAGCCTGACGTACGTTTCACCATATTGACTTTTACTCCTAGCGAGGCAGCATACATATGAAAGCGTCACCGCTCGTTCATTGTTGTAGGCGAGCGGTTGCTGTCAGCAACTGGTGGAGTAGCTGCGAGAACGCGTTTAGCCACACCCCGCTCATCCCTTCCACCACCAGTGACGTTGAGGAAAACGCCCGCCCACTGTGACCATGCTCACTGATTTGCGCCCCACTATCGTGGGGCGCCGACAGAAAGCGTCACCTTCCAAAAGATTAGGGTGCATTTATACTTTTCGCCAGCGTCCACCAGCTTCTGAGCGCCAGGCAGCGTCAGCGATTAGGAGACATTAGATATGAATCTTTGCCGGCGCCGTCAGAGACAGCAGCGCCTCGAGTACTAGGGAATTATAAGTATTGATCTAGCGTCTGACAGCGTTCACCCGCAGACTGCCGTTAAACATGGGGCCATAGGAGGGTACCAGCTGTCTGCTACCCTCCCATCTCGCCATACTCTCTACCAGCAGCCTGCAACCCTCTTATCTCCTCATATTGCACTTTTGCTAGTTCTAATCGACGTGTCAAGCCATCAAGTTGAAGCCACTGAATATCACCTACCAAGGCGTGTAGAGACTCTTGCAAAGCAATAAAATATTGCGATTTTTTCATAAGAGTTCACAGATTTCACCTAGCGGAACGAGTGAAGCAGCGAAACTGCAAAAGACTCCCTCGCCAAACTACGTCGTAAGTTTGTTGCTCCCACGGCACTGTAGCCTAGCAAGAAACTTTTTCAATACCTTCATCCAAGTCTTCTAAACACATTTATCGGCACAGAATTACATTCATTACATCAACAACCGATTTGATTTTTTTCAAGTTGATTTCTTGCTGTTCGCTTACACAGTTAACAGTAAAACTGTTGGTTACAATCACCCGCTAGGTTTAGAGTTGGCATAAAAAATGGAAATTCTATTAGCGTAACAACGTGGCCTATCATATCGCCCGCCACGAGTCTGTAAAGGTGTGTAAAGGTGTGTAAAGGTCAATCCGAATTGCAAAGCGATTCCACTACCCTTTTAGAGCCGCATTATTTCATAGGGCTGCAATCATATTTTGCGTCAGCGTACGCCAGCATTTTGAGCGTTTTGAGCGTACGACAGCGCCAGCGACTGAAAACTATAGGTATCGATCTAGCGAATGCTCCCCGTATGCCAACGTAGGGCAGCGTTTGAGCGACTGAGAGTTTAGCTACTGATCAAGAGACGCCAGCTTATGCCTCCAACGTCCAACAGGAGTGGAATTATAGGAAAGTAGAAAGGTAGCAGACTGCTGGACTAGGCGCCCTGAAATTGCGGTGTGTACAACCGCACCGTACAACTGCACCACACCATCACCATAACTGCATTCCACTCTTCTTCTTATATTAAGGTAGCATAATTCTGTACTTCAGCAGCTGTACAGTGCGGCTGCACACGCCGCCATCTCATGATGCCTAATCCAGCAGTCTGCTTGCTACTTTCCTACTTCCCCATACTCTTCACTTCGTCCAATATCCATACTTTCCTAGTTGCTCGATATGCTGCTGTATGCTGCCTTACATCGATACCTATACTTTCCCAGTGGCTGGCGTGCGCTGGAAACGCTGCCGCTCGCAGGGGAAAGTATGGACGCAGCCTTACAGCTTTTTCATATAACCAACACTTTCTGTGGTAATCATTACAGCAACTGGATAATTGTGAAGAGAAGAGCAGCATTTTCTTGGTCACAATAGATATTTGGTTCATTTTCAATACCTTATAAAATTTTGGCTTGCTTTCATTTATTCCTGCACTGATCCTAGCTGTTCGCTGTGGACGAAGGGGCGTGTCAGGCTGGATGAATTGTGCGCGGTACGAAACTGTTCGAAACTGAAGCGAGCAAGTGACAAGACTATACCATGGTTCGTATCACTCCTTTTCTACCACTGGCTATCGCATACACGCTTCAAGCAACTGGCAGAGAACGGGTTTGGTGCTTTGACACACTCATACTGCCTGACACGCCCCATTCGTCTGCAGTGAAACAGAATATACTTATGACCTTCTCCATGAAATGTCAATTTACGCCTAAAGTTTCTCATGTATGAAAGGGAAGAATATAAAGGATTTTATTTCACACCGAAAAATAAGAAAGGTTGAATATTCAAGGACATGGACCGAAACTCCTTGATACATCAAAATACCATACATATCAACACAAACACTTTGGTAGAAATAATACAAAATTGATCAAAAAATAATATCAACTCACGAGATTTAGCACAAAAGTCATACACCTCTGTCGTATGGTTCCGGACTAGCAGGTGGAGCTCGACCGACCTGCCGATTTCCTGCACCCGCCACAACCTCCAACGCTTCTTCGTCGTCTGATGACGAATCAACTTGAATTTGTTCATTCGGTTGTGCTTCAGCGCCGCTGACTGCGCCAGAGGTCTTAAACAATAGATAAAAATCAAAAACACTCGACAGAAAAATGCTCAAATGTTCAAGTGTTGCAGAAAGACTGTTAAGTATGCTCGTTTAACAAGAAGTTCGAATCCGAAAATTGGTTTGAAATGTTGGAAATTTACCTTATATTTGATTGGGTCGCTTTAACGCGTGGAACAATGCGCCCCCAAAACGCAGAAGGAGGAAAAAAATTCTTAGGCTGCGATCATACTTTGCGCCAGCATTTTGAGCGTACGACATCGTCTTGAGCGCCCAGAGAACTAAGAATATCGATCTAGCCCTTTGAGCGCCGCCAGCTTTTAGTGACTGCCCGCCAAGGTCTCCAAACTGCCCGCGAAACTGCTAAGAAGGCTTGCGTACGTTCCAAACGCTGGTGGACGCTCAAAACGATCGATATCCATTCTTCCTAGTCGCTCGAAACGCTGCCCGAGCCGGCTACGCTAGATGATGACTATACTTTCCTAGCTGCTCGAAACGCTCGAAACACTTCCTTTGGCTCAGAATACTGACGCATGGCATGAATGCAACCTAGGGACACCTAAAGTGTTTCTAAAAAGTGGGTGGATGGTGAGTCCCACGCGAAAGACCCGCTCATTCGCAAATGTGCTATCAAATTCCCATAAATTCGCCCATTCCCTTATAAAAATCACGAAAGCATAAAAAACTCTCAAGAAAATTTCAAGAAAATTGAGACCCGCTCAAGCAGCTCACATTACACCTAATGACCAAGCTGTCATAAATGTGTTACTTCTCAGAAATCAAAAGTAGTACCTAGGCAGCGTACAAATTTCGTGATGACCCGCGTGGACGCGCTGTAACGCGCTGCAGGGCGCGACAACTGCAACCGAAGCTACGGACGCAAACGCAGCTGCAGATCGCCAAAGCCCATCGATAACAGTTTACAAGGCATCACCTCGATCTAGCCGCTGCAGGCGAGAATTGATCAGCACCGGCCGTCTGTGAGTGCGCGCGTCCATAGCTCTGGAGCGCGCTACAGCGCACCTTTACAGCGTGTCGACGCCCGTAATGCAAAGTGTGAACGCTGTCTAAATTATGAGAAAAAAAAGCCAAAGCAGAAAACCTCAAAACTCACTGATGGACGGTTTGCTTCATACTGTCGCAGAGCTGCTCCAACAGCATCATTATCCACGTAAGGTCCAAACAAAGTGCCATAAGAGGTGCTCGGCTCAGGATGTGTGTATATTGGGAGCTTTGGGCTTCCTGGTGGACTGCTACCATCTGTAGCGGCAGTGGTTCGTTCGGTAGAACTAGAAGGAATCGCTACAGAAGCCATTGATGGCTCCAACAACGGATCCGTGGATGTGGTAGGTGGTGATGGCGGAACATCTGGTTCAACAAGAAAATCCCAGATGAGGATAGTGTCATCATGAGAACTGCTGACAATTTGAAAATCGTCAAACTGCAGGCGAAATACACGTCCAGTGTGTTGCTGAAAAAAAACCAATTTAATCCTAGTTCACCTATTGGAAAAAAAGCAGGTTTCTTCCTTTGAAGTAGAAATGCTTCACTGACAACTACGGTAACTACCACCAATAAAAGCCGCTATGCAATCAACCGCTGAGCTGCGCCCATACTTTATGTGAGCATTTCGAGCGTACGGCTTCGTTTTGAGCAATTGTGAAAGTATAGGTATCGATCTAGCGTACGCTAGCGGCAGCTGTTTGAGCGTTTTGCGGGAAGTTTCGAACTTTTGGCGCGCAGTCGCTCAAAACGCTGCCGTACGCTCGAAACAATGAAGCAAAGTATGAGCACACCCATAAACCCCTCCCTTATGAGCCGCTAACTTTCTCTATACCATGAACGAATTTACCATGCGAGCCCTGGTCCTACAACTGCTACCGGGAATATTAGGCTTGCTATGCTTCGCTAACACACGATTTATCACAAATAAATTTAATAAAATTACGGGTTTCAAAAAAAATAGAAAAAACACTCGAGCTTACCACTAATGTGCTAAGGCACAGCGAACTTGGCGAGGAACGAGGATCAAGAGCTGCTTCGAGATCCCATACACGAATCTTACTAAACAGCAATAATTAGTGACAAGTAAATATGATCCAAAACTAAACAGCATACTACACTTACCCATCATAAGCCCCAGAGACAATGCGCTTATCGTCGAATCGAATACATCGTACCAGCTCTTCGTGGCCTTCCAGTACTCGTAAACAAACACCAGAATGAATATCCCACAACCTAAAACAGTAGAGAGTAAGTAGAGTCATGAAATCGTTTTCTGTCAACGACAGTACCTGATGGAGTTGTCACTCGAGCCAGATACGACAAGCCTGCCTCGATACTGCAGACATGCTATACCACGCTTGTGACCGGAAAGGGTTCGAACGAATTCTAGGTTATCAGCTGACCACACCTAAAAACATTACAACATTTTGACGTCAAGTCGCATCAACAGCTCCAAACATTTGACGCCAAAGAGGCTGCCTAGGCTGTGTTCATACTTCGTGTCAACGTACGCCTGCGTTTCGAGGACGCTAGCGCCAGCGATTAGGAAAGTTTAGTTATCGATATAGCGGACGCCAGCGTATACCAGCTCAATGCATCACTTGCGGGTAGTCTTGTTCAAGCTCAAACCGCCCGCGGAAAAAGCTGGAGTACGCTGATGTTCGCTAGATCGATGTCCATACTTTATAAGTCGCTGGCGCTGGTGTACATTCGGAACGCTGACGCGAGCCCAGTGTCCATACTTTATAAGTCGCCGGCGTACACTCGAAACGCTGACGCGAGCCCGGCCAGTCTTACCCTCGAGCCTTCACAATGAAATATCTGACAAAATATAGCAGATGGGTGTAAAATTTCGAAGTAAATTGTTAAATTACTCAATAATTCATAAATTCGGAGGCACATTATTCGACTACACGCGATGTCCATCATTTCCGTGGTGGGCAAACCCGTAAATGTAAAAAAGAGCAGTATAAAAGCAGTACCGAATACGGCGCAGTTCGGCGACGAGGGTGGGGGAAGTAACTTGCATTTTTGCTGCTCTCCGCTGTCGTGTCGAGCTATCGCAAATCTTGCGAAGCTATGAAGAGCTGCTAGTCAAAGTCGGAACTACCGGTAAACTCTGGTAAAGAATACCAGTAAAATCCGTGAAGCAATGAACACGACAACGGGAAGCAGCGAAAGCGGAAAATGCCTGTCCGCGTAGGAACTGCGCTCCCGAACACCTTCGATGATGGACACTGCTGCAGGAGTTGAGCTATGGAAGACAGTAGCTTCTGGCCATTGAGAATGCGCAGACAAGTATGCGGTGGCAACTACTGGGCATATGGTTGGACGTGCGTCGTATTGCGTGTCCGCGGTCTGTTCGAAATGCATTGATTGAAGGGCGGGGATTTTGTCATCACAATGCTCGAACTTCGTTTCCAAGACTTTCGAAATGAGGACAAGGGACCCTTCTGCAATTCATGACCTGCCCAGCTCGAGCATGGAATAAGTGACCTTGAAGGTAACTCCTCAATTTATTTTTAATAGCTTGCTTTTGTTGTTTTGATAACTGAAAACCGTGGATAACTAGCAAGTAGGTAGGTACACATGACTTACCTTGATCGTTCGATCTCCAGACGCGCTGACAATGTATCGATCATCGAAATCAACGACATTCACCGCTGCACGATGTCCAACGAGTACCCGTCGGAGATTAATCTCACGCGGTGATACCATATCCCAAACCGCAATCGATCGATCCTTCGAGCTGCAGAATAACTGATCAACGACAAAGAAGTAAACAATACGGAAACAGCAAGTTGCACTGCTAGATATTATAGCTGGCCCTTCCCTTCGAAGAAAAGAACTTTCAAGGAATGTTGTGCAGAATCTCCACGGGTCATTAATCGCGCAAAATCTATGGCCAAAACCCTTCAGAAAAAGGAAAAATAGAAATAAATTCTAAAATATGCCAATGTATTGAAACGTGCGCTCACTGTCACAAACAAAAATAAAACAACAACAAAAATCTCACCAGGTAACCATAATTCCATCGTTAAACCTCAAGTGAAGCACAGCTTCGCAGTGATGAATTAACGTATTTAAACATTCTCCCGTTGCCACGTCCCAAACACGGACTGTGGCGTCAGAGGAACCTGAAGCTAGGCTTCATATAAATTCTGATCTAACAGTAAACCAGTAAAAAAAAGGGAATTTCTGAATCAACAAGACAAATTCCACTGAAGCAGAACTCACCCGATATTATTACTCTTTCGTCGTATTGAAGACACAATACGGAACCCGTATGACCAGATAGTACCCGTTCGCAGCTCAAATCAGCCCGATTCCATACCTGAAAACATTTACACCTCAATCAAGGACAACATGGTGCTAATTTCTCTCATCTCCTTTTCACTATTCAATGACCTGAGAGGAAGAGCATGGTCACTCCTTTTAGGCTGAATGTCGGAAAGATTGGAGGGAGCGCTGCGCAAAAGTAGTTAGAGCCAGCTGAAACGACAGTGTCACGCCCACATTCTGCTCGTCTGCGTTATCCTAACGAGATAGTGTTCGGAGCGCTCGGCTGATGGTGACAAGCATGCAGGCGAGTAGAGCTTGTACCTCTTTCGTGTGCAGTATAGTTTTAACTTTAGCAGACAAGGTCCGCGATTACCCTCGCGCATAGCAGTCAAGTCTGCATTTACAGAAACCACCAAGTTTGGAAAAGTCGTACGATCACTGGGTGATGTTCGAGACATTTTCGCCCTTTTTTCAATATTTAGGTTACTAGCACTTATGTCATTCTCAAACACTCCCACCAAACGTTTGGAAAACCTAAGGCACTCTATGAACGCTGCATGGGGACTCTTTACTGAAAGAGATCAAACTATTTATAAAACATAGTAAGCACCTATGTAAGAAATATCATAATAACTTGATTTACCTTGATGACGTTATCACGTAGACCTGACACAATTTTTTCGTCATCGTATTGCAAGCAATACACACCTATAAATTAATTAATATTCAAACTCACACGATCTGAAAAACCCAAGATGACATACAACTTGAAAATAGACAAACCTTTACTGTTTTCTGAACGGCAGTTTATACTACTTAGCTTATAAACTCCTTTGCGCCAGTTGGATTCGATCTTGTCAATGTCAGCAACCACTTTTGGGAATAGTTCCCTGCAATATGAAAATTCTAAATGTTCAGCAAGATTTTTACAGTCCTGTAGCGATCCAGTATCAATTTGGCACCATTTCAAGGAACTGGGGCATGGGAATACAATAGTGGTCTGAAGTGGTCTAAGCAAGGCAAATGAATTTAAGTAAAATCAAGCAATGAAATGAAGCAAGCAATGAATTTTTGTCCAGCCTTAGGAGCCCAGGGTGGGTGAGCCAGGTACAGAGGCAAATCAGTGTCACGGTAATCACAATTTTGCGAAAAGTCTTTTAAAAGAGCAAACTTCTTGTGAACTTCTTTGAGCTAGCGTCTGTAAGAGTTTTATCAATTAACCAAAATCTGTCAATAACCGGAGGACCTTCGACTTCACAATCATTAAATTATTCAAAATTACCATTGAGAATCGAGAGAAAGCTACTAGCTACTAGCTAGCAGCTAAGAATTACCATTGAGAATCGAGAGAAGTATCAGAAAGCCGATGACAAAAACAATTTCTGTTCAAAGTATAGACAACAAACCTGTAAAATCGATGCTGCATCATGACCATTTCTGTAGTACCTCGTAATCTCTCGTATTTTACTCGATAGTAGTCGCAAATAGCGCATGCAGCACAATCTCTACTGACTAGGATGTATTTGCGCCTAAATAAGTAATATTAGCAAGGTAAACCGAAAAGGTGGTTCACTTCCTCATAAGCACAGGAGACCCATATATGATAATTAGACGTATTACTGTTATTGTTCAACAATAACTGTTTGAAAATTGTGAAGGAATTACAATCGCACCAAAATGGTATTCCACGGGAAAATGCTGCTTTTTCCAATTTGAGAGCACTACTATAGAGCCAAAACTTCAGCAAGAAAACCACTACTTTATCCTTCTTCTATGCACTAACTCGGAAAGGTCTTAATAGTATTATTCCTCTTGCGAGGGATTCCACTTCAAGGATTCCATTCAAGGGTTCGAAACGATGAATCGCCTCTTCTAATCACGCAGATGTTGAATCATCGGAGGCGCGTAGTCAAGCGCAAACTAGCATTGCTTCTTCTCTAGTCATCTTGACATCAGCTTCCCGCCGCGTTGAATTTTCTCGCGCGCACGTGGATCAGGTGGGTCTTGATGGGAACGCGCGGCAGGTAAATTCTTTATCCATGCTTCTTCAGGCAGGTCTGTGGACAGCTTGAACTCAATTCCTTTGATAGGCCAACTTTCTCTTTTTCTCTGCGCTCTCACAATGTCGGCCATTCTATGACACTGTGGTCTCAAACATTCCAACTTTCCACGTATGATAAGTGGCTCGTCCACTTGGAGGTCCTGCCCTGGAAGTGCTCATCTCCCGTAACATGCTCTTTCCACCTTTGGGAGGCGGTCGTTTGGCGCGATTACATGGCAGTTGACGTGTTCTAACAGGTAACGTTACGTGCCTACCAAGTTGGATACCTTGTCCGAATCACTGAACTATGAGGTTTTCGTAATTTATAGCCTACCAAAAGCCGTGACTGTTGGTTCTAGTGCTCGTAATTCTAAGCCAGCCTTCTTCTTCTAATGGTCACTTAGGGAAATACACTGGTTTGGAAGTTCGGACGAGTTGCTTCACCTGGAAGTCGGTTTGCCTGACATGTTTTGACGCGTAGGCGACAAAAAATTGCGCCAAAAGATATAGACCCCCTTCATATGCCTTGAAAGCCGCAGTCCCGGTATTCCTCTATTCTCTGAAGTTCCGCTTCAGGACCCACACCAAAAATTTCAGTAGTCACGTAAGACTTTGGGCGTCATCACCGCGACTCGAATATGCGGAGCTGGATCTGACTCTATTTCTTTTATTCAATCATCGGGTAAAGCATTTGCGGGTACTTTTCCAGACTACATGATTCATTTCGGGAACAAGAATGATTCCATTTCTGTCCTCCAACAGGACTGGGTTCCAGTCTTTGGAACTACACACGATGGACTTTCTCAATACTAAATCGGCTCTTTGCTGATGAAGAGCCTGGCAATAGTCCGGATCTGAGTTTAGTGGCATTTCTTGTTTCGCTCTTTGTACAGTAGCAACTATTCATTGGAGACAAAAGAGTACAGTGACTTTGCGAACGAGTCGGCTCTGGGATATGGAAAAAAAAACTTGACGCCGAATTTCCCCATGACACCATCGGTACGATTCGGAAAAGAATTGGAGCCTCTGTCTAGATCAGTAGCGATCATTTGGAAAAGTCTTTTGCAATTGTTAGGCAGCGTTCATACTTCGCGACAGCAGCGGCGATCGCGGCGACCTCGGCGATCGCCGCGATCGTCGGTACGTGGCAGAGCGCGCCCCAACGCTATTATGGACTGCTCGCTTGATAAATAAGGAAGTCCAACTTGTGAGACCGGGGAATTTTCGCGGCACATCCATTTGTTGCCATTTCGTCAGTCTCAAATTACGGGGGAAAAGTGGACGATATACACCTTCGGCATCTTGACTGACGCATTCAAAATAATTGCACCTTATGTTAAAGAATAAATCAGGCAAAGAGTGTGAAATAAGGAAACGCAAGAAAAATAGCAATAAGTTTCTGAATATGAAGACAGCAATAATAATCACTGAGTACACATCAAAAAACTGACCACTTCTTCTTTTCGCTCAATCCTCGCCACATGTTATCCTTCCGAACGTTACGTTCTATCAATTTCCGCCACAGCTGCCCCCTTGCCAGTACGCTTCGCCAGTTCGTACTCACAGCTTCACAAGCAGCAAGGGTTCGGGCGTCCAGATTTGAAAGAATCATCTCGGCCAAATGTTCTGAAAAGAAGATACTTGAATAAACTCATTCCAAATACTTGAACTGAACACTGCTCATGAACGCGGATGAACTTTACGAGAAATGTCCTGCTAAAACTGAAGCGCATTCATAGTTCGCGACCCAATCGCTTGGATCGCGCGACCTCGACCAGGGTGCTCCACCGCCAACTGGTGGACGACTACGCTTCGATTACAAAAATACGAGCGAGTCATGCACCCAGGTTATGGACCATTCCCTTCGAGTAAAGTCAAATGGGAGAGATATTTTATGATCATGGTCCAATCCGCCGTCGCTCAACGTGGATGCTCATGAATGAGCTCACTCAGTCTCTTCGCATGGAATTCAAGTAGGGTTCGGTCTTTTTATGGCTCGAAGCAATTAGAGCAGTCCCGAAAGGCATCTTCGCCATACATATCACAAACGAGCTTCCGCGGCTTAAGCATATCGATAAAACGCAAAAAGATGCCCTTGGCTAATTTAGAAATTAAGAAACATTGAATCAGCATAAAAATCAGCCATACTTCATTCCAGAGCGTGCACTTTTCAAAGCTAATATGAAATGTACTGGCTCAACATTTGTCACCCAAAAGCCTACGGGCCAACCCAATGGCGGGAGCCGAACCCGACAATCGTATTTTGTCGTGTCGCAACCCGCAATGAATGATGCGGCCATGCATGGCAAATACTCAATGTGCACCAGTTTATTGATTGGAATTATGAGTTCAAATGGCAAGTCTCATGACGGACCATATTGAATTTTTCACCCCTTATCCTTAAACGCAAACGCCCAGGTAGGACAGCTCATGTCGGGGGCGGCGTTACTTGCCACTCGCACGAGCGCGGCACATTACGATTGTCTTGTCATATAGGCAGCATCATACATGGCGACTTTGAAGAAAAGACGAATTTGCGGAAACGCAGAAATGCAGAATCTGCAAAAATGCCGGAATTACGCAGAATCGGCACATCTCCCTGTGGCGGTAATAGGGAATCAATCCATATCAAGTCTTTATTCGTCATTCCGACAGTTCTGCAAATTCTACAATTTTCTCAATCCGCAGTTTTTCAAATCGATACGCGTAGTCTCTTATATCCGCGGTTTCGTCATTTATTCAAATTGTTATCATGAACGCGGCCATACCGCCCAATACCTCGGTACTCCCAGCACACTTTTCATGATAAAAGTAAAAAAAAATATGTGAAAAGCCTTGGTAACAGGTAAATTCTGATACGAAAACAAAGGATAGCCTTGTTCGTATTTTTCTAAAGTCCCCTCATCTCAGGAATAGTTCCGCTTCTCACAGTGTCATAACTAACAAAAGGAGCTGAAGAAAATTGGTGTCGACACCGTGATTGTGGACTTAATGAAATAAAAAATCCACAAAATAAAAAGAAAAGCATGAGCAGATCTTACGAGGTAATAAAGCGATGAAGTCACGTTGCAACATGGGCTGGATAAATCTCTGCATTACAAACAGTTGATTGTGGCTCATTTTACTGAGGATTCGCTCCATAATGTCGAGTTGTTCATGTTCGTTCCAGTTGAGGAATTTCTGAAACATGTACACGACAATAAAAAAACCCGTAACGAACTCTTACAACAGCGAAACATGTTACTGCATTCTTGTTCTACAAAAAAAAATTTGAGAAGCATCTACCCTTTTGTCCCAGGGTGCAGACAGTCATGATGCCTGCAAACGATAGGATTGTGACGGGAGCATGGCTTAGAGCGCAGCCAGACCAAATCTCCATCTGTACCGGGCTCAGGATGGCATCATTTGGAACAAGCGCGCACTCGCTACGCTGCAGTCCACGCCACGTTATACGCCCTATCGTTTGCAGTAATCACGACTGTTCGTTTCGTGACAAAGCCATTCAATACAGAGTTTAAAAGCTTTTTCTGTAACATGATTACTGACTTCAATTAATTTGTGTCGGTTTCGATTGACTTGGAATCCAAAAAGATTTAAAAAATCTTCAGAATGGGTCTTTCAGTTGCAGCTATAACAGATATGAACATTTGCTTCACTTTCTCCAGTCAACCCTTTCCGAGTCAAACTATGAGTAATTTCTCACTAAAGCCAACAGCAGCACCTATAAACCTTTCTAAGCCCTGAGGTCGAGGAATAGCGAGGTATTCTTGCAAGCTCATCAACGTATGCCTGATCAAAAGTGGTATGTGGTACTGCTTCGTTCCTCCTTGAAGGAGTGCAAGCCATTTCCCCTTCGTTCTTCTTTAGTGAGTTATGAGCTTCCACCGAGAGAAGCGGAAAGTCAACACCTTTACGCAACGTAACCACCTATTTGCCAAGGTTGAAGTCATTTAGTTCGAAATATTTTTCTTCAGTTGCCTCAAGACTAACGGACCGCTATCGAAACAGGTATCTCTCTCAAGGGAACCTATGTTATGACAAGGTTATGTCTTTTCTGGTTTACATGTACTTAACAAAATCACTGATGAATTTTTTGTCTTGTTGTTGCCTTGTAGCAGAAGCACCGCATTCGCTAAGGGCAAAGTTCCCATATGACTGATTTGATTTCTGCTTATGCTTACTTTGTAATCATGCTGTTAGTATTTCACAGTGAGTATTTGGCATTTTGCCAGGTTATGCTTCATCTGCACACCAGATTACTGCGTCCACGAATCAATGGATGAAAATGTTCTTCTCGTGATTTCGTGATATTTTATGGGCGAATTATTTTCGTTGCTTTTCTGTTTCGATGAAGAACGCACTCTGCGTCCTTCATTGTGCAGGTGATAATAAAGAATGGATATGTGACTCATCGAACATCCGTACCCTGAGAAGTGATAGGCGTGGCTGCGTACTTCAACTAAACGTGCGGTGGCTGTGCTTTTGGTGAGATATTTTCATTTTGACACAATTGTGGTCATGTCTCTGTCCAAGACGGAACAAGATGACAGTTGCTCCGAAGTGTGTATTCCACCAGTCACCCATTCTATGCCAAGGTTAAATTCTACACCAACTTCATCTCAGGGATAAGGCGTATAATTTCTGTACGCACTGATATTTCCGTACCAGTTCGCCTTTTTCTGGAGCGGCGGGTCAGTTAGTTACTTAGAATCAGTTACTTTAGTTACCGATTATGTTGTTAGATTCAGTTTTTTTTTCATACGCCTCTCCAGATTTATATGAGCTGTGCCCTAGATCGTATTTTGATAATTCTAGAACATGAAAGAAATGACAAACAAATATTGGAGTAATGGGAAAATGTAAGACTGCGCATGTGTGTCATGCAGGTGATAATGATCAAAAACCCAAGTTACAATAATTTACAAAGCGCTGGGCAGAACTTTAGAATCATTCACTGTTTTGGTTATTTTTTGATAAAGTCTCCCACGCTACTTCACGAATAACTTAACATTAGTGGTATGGAAATAAAACTCCTTCTCTTGAAGAAGGACCAGTAAGAGTAACATAGTTTGACACGGAACCAGTTCACCGGTAACAATGCTAAGCGAAATCGAAATGCATTTTCCCTTGAAAAGCTACCAGTGCTAAGAAATTGAGTGCAGTTCGAAAGCAAACAGAAAGTGGTGGAAACGTCTTTAAAAAATTATTTACAAATAACTAAAAAAGTAAACACGTCTCAAAAAACAACAAAAACAAAGAAAACAAACAAGATGAACATGCTAAACAATGAACTCACATCAAGAACAGCCTCACATTCGCAAAGGTAATCATCTCCAAGATTACCCTTTGGATCGAAGTCATTATCGATTTGTAGCGTTGTTATCCTCTTCTGATTATTTCGAAACTATAATAGGAAAACAATGACTTAAGTTATAAAAGTTGTATGTAAACAAGTAAAGATATGCTAAGTAACTCTTACAGAGGAATTAATCCCTTTTAGTCTAGTACTTCGATAGTCCGACGCGTTATGATCACCACAGTCATGCCTCGTAAGGTAATGGTAATCATCCATACCTTGGTAATACGGACTCCTCTGAAATATTACCAAATATTCACCGTCAAAAATTGCTAAAACAAAACTCGGCATTAGAGAGGTACATAAGCATACTAACGTAGTACTACTGCCTAAAAACTATGATAACCCCTACTATATCAACATAGTATTGTAATAATGATCATATCAGACAATATTTGTCATAATGGCGAAAAAAATCACTTAGTCATCGACGCGACCTATAAATAAACATCAACAATGCCCGCCGATCGATAACGTGAGCTAGTTTGTTGGAGGGGTTTGTAAAGCAAGTATTAACGCTGGATAACTCGTTAATTTCGTTTAGAAGTAAAGGAATAGACAAGCTTTATGGAGCATTTGACACAAATTGTCGCCTAGGAATACTGATGGTCGACTTTCCTCCTAGGACCGCCCATGTGTGCCGGCCTCTGACTCACTGCACCCCTCGATGAACTGGGTCGATTGGCGAGTTCCCAAGCATGTGGGAGGATCGCGAGTGAAGAAAGAGGGTAACAACGTCATTCAGTTGGAAAGAACTGGCATAAACAGCAGAAAATTTTCGTTCATTTTTCATCTTCTACATCTCCTCTCTGTTAAGTTCGATTTTTCTTATATTTGAGCTAAAATACGAGAAAACTAAGAAAGCATGTCCAAAGCTGATACTTGACGAAGAACGTGTGAGGAGTAAAGTGAAGCTCTGAAATCTCCAGACTTCCAAAGGGCCTTCAAAAATAACTGGTTTATAAAGAAAACAAAATGCGATAATGACTCACGAACGGTGCCTGCGGGGGGGGGGGGGATCAGTTAACGTGCTGCCATCTTATAAAGACCTGGAAAGTTTCGCAAAGCTGGAAAATGGTACAGGCTTCATTCCCACGCCGATCCTTCTTTGTCTTCTTTATTTTTCTTTTTAGACAAAGTTGCTGCAGGGAGGTAGAGGTAAGATTGTCAGCCAGATGGATAAGTTTGTGAAGAAGGGGTTTGAGAATCAAATTCGTAACGCTTCCCGTCCTTATAGGAGTTCACGAGTTCACCCCCCCCCCATTAGGTTGAACGTTTTGGTGCGCCGAAGGCCGACCTCAAAAAAATCATAGAACATTATCGTGAACTTTGTACTGTTTTTGGGCAATATGAAAGAGCTTGTCTATTTACTAGTTAGAATTATAATGATAACAAGTGAGAGTTTCTTGCATTCCCCGCCATCAAACAATAAAGAGAGGGAGCATCCGGTATCGATCAGTTCATTTTCGGAATGCGCCACGCATTCTACTTTCATATAAAACCGCATAGCACTTTGGATGCCATTTGGATGCCATTCGGCCTAGACAGTAACTTACTGCGGCCAGTTGCCTGTCTCGATAGGATGGAAGGCTTGGTTGATCTGCCTGAGATACCGATATTTGGCCCTAGGAGCAAAACGTCGCTCCTCGTCATAATACCCTTACCCCCCCCCAAAAAAAAGGTTACCCACGAATATTTAGCTCCAGCACCTAAGATTCCTCACTCCTCTGATGGCAGCTGATGGCACATTAATGCTTTAGTGATACTCGGTGAATACTCTCAGGGTCACTGACATGAACACTATTATCATGAGGCTGTAAACAAAGCAAAGAAGATCAAAATAACGTCTCAACTAGTCGGCTGGCAGTAAACAGTAACCATGGTTTATCAGCAGCACTACCCAAGCAGAGTGGAAGAGTGGAGGGTGACGCTAATCCATTCATCGTTAGTGACTACTGATAGGAATGCGTGAGGTTCGATTGACGAACAACTTTATCCCCATTTTACTTGGGATTTAGAGGCACTATCCGCGATTGGAGCGAGGGGGAGGCGGGGCATGAGAATCTCTCTAATTGGGTAATCTGGCTCCCCAACCTCCAAGGAGTATGTGCCCATTGGCTCTCGAAGGTGCGCAGGAATCGTGTTGCAATACAATCTCCTGGACCCATTCCTTGCAGTTAAGGTCCTCCCGAATGCTGGAAACCTATGCCGCCAGAGTAGTTCATCTTTCATGAGTTGTTCTGGAAATCAATTCACCTCTACAACTGTGTGCTGATACCTGCGAGATGGATCCTTTTTATGTGCGGACGGGGTGGGCAGCTTCACAAAAAGTGCTTGTAAAGGTGTACCACATAGCCACCTCAAGAGTAGGTACTGTAGCAAGAAAAATGTGACGGATGGATCTTCTCAATGCCTCCAACTGCTGCTCGATAAGCGACGAGCAGAACACAGACGCGCAACACGCCGCACAGTCAGCTGGCACACCAAACCGTGGGCACATGCGCTACCTCTCGCACTCTCACGTGGGGTGCCACTGCTCTTTATAGATTACTTTGGCAGCGAAGTGTCGTTAGGGTGTTCGCAACTTGTGACGTGTACATGGCGTAATCCAGATGAAGACGAAGAATATCAAGCTATCACAACCATACCCACCTCGTACATGGAAAGAATCCACTTCTCACGCAAATGATCGAACCAAGGGCCCTTGAATCGCATTCCATTATTGCGATTGTTGCGCTTTTGTCGCTTGTGGGATTGAGTTATCTGAATTGAGAAGAGGTGAGTCAAGAGTTACATTGGCAAGTAGAATCTCTACCATGTGCCTGGGCCTGCACATCATACATTTAATCAATTTTTTCGGTACAGCTAGGGCTTCACTTCCCCGGTCAGTAATTTAGCTTCAGAGAAGGAAGAGGACAATCAACTTCTGCTGGAATTCCGACCCCGCCCCCACGTCCAGGAAATTTGTCTTGGAGCACCAAAGTGCACCAGCAATAGCCCGGTCAAAAAAATACTTGGCAAAAGGCTGGCGGTAGAGGTCGACGACCATACGTGGATAAAGGCGCTCTACGTGACCATCCGAAGTGCAGCCATTTACAGCTACAGCTATTTAAAGGGTCAACCACCGCATTCGTTGAGTATGACCGCAGCAGATACAAGAGCACGAACGGTCGTGTGGACAGCAACGCTGAAGGAGCTGCAATAGTTGTACTCCAAATCCCAGAGATGTGGTAGGCGTGGCTGCGTACTTCATTCGAACATGGCGAGGCCTGGGCTTTTTGTGAGTTATTTCGATTTTGGAACAAATGATTTCTGTCTTCGTCCAATACAGGGCAAATGGCAGTTCTCTCAAATTGAAGTATCTCACGAACGTCATCCATCCTCCGCTCTGTTCAAATTGAGCACGCGGCAACGCCCACGTCTCAGGGATGGTGGCTGTAACTCATGAGCTGAATGCCAACCGCTTTGCATTCCCACTCTTCCCCCATCCCCTCCCCAATATCCACCTATTAAGCTCATAGTATTGTTCAAAATCCGCTCGGAAGGTCATAGCCTGCGATTGCTTGAAATCTGGTTACCTTGCGAGATATTTCCATTCGTTTTAGCATGCGCGTAGCAATGCCAACGCTGCTGCATCCGTAAAACTTGTATCGCATTTTGTCTGAAAATACAAATGCATTTTAGTATATATATGGTGCTCATCATTGCAGACCGGTGGGGCGGGTGAGCCGCGCCGCGTGTGACTCGGCTGTGACGCGACTGTCATCGCTGCCGCGTCACAGCCGAGTCACACGCAGCGCGGCTCACCCGCCCCACCGGTCTGCAATGATGAGGACTGTATGTTTAGTAAAGTAGCAACTGCTGGTACACTCCACAGCAGTAGGGCCCGCCAATGTTGCTATAGAAATAATGGCGTCTCACCTAATTTGAGAGAGCTCAGACAACTAGAGGGTGTGGGTGCAGCTAGGCGTGCGGCTGACCTTGTGGCGTATGGTGTGCTCGCGGCGTATTTAATAGCAGGCATAGAAATGACCCTTTTTCACAACCTCACAGCTGTACTTCCGCTTCCTTATACTGGTGCCCGCACATGAAAATTATCCTCGCATGTGGTCGTACAGTGTGCCTATAAAGCTGTTATGCGTAGCGTACACGCCACACTCTAGCTCCAAGATTTCAATATGGCATTAATGTACATGCTAACACTAAGCACTCCCAACTGTCTACTCCCCAGGATTTATGCGCCGCAGTAAGTTTTCTGGGTCAGATAGCTGGTTCTCTGGCACTATTCCAGAAATGCACTGCACGTCGGTGCAGGATAAAACTTTTCCCTAGACTTAGCCGAAATCTCCACTCCCCAAAATAACAGTCGTTCATTCGCACCTGGCAGCAAAATTGCTCGCCTTGTCGGATCAGGGAGCACCAGCTGATGGAATTCATGTTCCTTCCCCTTGTACTACGTACACTACATCCCTCCTCCCACATACCCTCCTGTAGTGAGAGGAACAGGAGAGAAGTGGGCTGAGCTAGGGTGACAAGGAGCGGGTGCAACAGACCGCAGCGGTCGGTACTTGTTTCTGGTCAAGTCTCCTAACAGGGTGAATGGAACATTATTATAAAACAATAATGTCCCTCAGCGTTGTCATACTTTGCTTCTCTGATATCTGCCTTTTGAAGACCCTCTTACCAAAAACCTGGCCCCTAAGGTCCAGTGAGTTCCTGACTGTGACGTACCGCACGATAGCTTCTTGTACGGCAAGCTCGCGTGGCCCGTACAACAAGTTATCGTGCGGTATGGCTCGTCCTGGCAACCATATGATCCTACATTTTTGCAGGATCGAGATCTGCCCTCTTTCTGGCATTCTTCGCTTACCGAAACAGACTACTAGTTACTTCCTGTAAGACTGATACAGCTTCACGCTCCACTAGGGCTAAGGCGGTTGTAACCGAAGACGCACCTCAAGGTTTCTCGTCCAAAAATAGGCAGATGAATCAACTGAGGGTGGGGAGAACGCAGTCACCTAAAAACATCTCGATTAAAATGCCCATCTAATATTGCATCAGGTGGGACTTTAATAATGTAGGCAGAGTTTGAGTACCTGCCGCCTCTCGGAAAACCTACCTGAATTTGCAGGAAGCAGTATTGAATCCCCGTTTCCAAGAACCAGCGTATTGCAGAGATATACCGCCACTCACTAGTCGGTTTGTATTGCAAAATG